GTCTGTAACTGGAGAAACAGACCCTCAAAGGGGGAAATATGTGAACGAATACAAATAGACCCACCGGAACAAGAAGTTTACTTCCTTCCTTCCTTCCTTCCTTCCTTCCTTCCTTCCTTCCTTCCTTCCTTCTTTCCGAGTTTCTCTTTGCCCTGTAGAATCGGAACTTTTGAGTTTTTCTTTCTTAAAGCTTAAGAGTGGAGACTAATGCACTTGAATCCCGCCCTCTCCCCAGGATTTCTCACTGAAAATTGCTTTTATTATCTAACTCTTCCCACAGGCAGTTTCATCTAACGGGACATAAAACGGTGCAAACAACCTACCCCACACAGGTAATGATAATAGTAAACAGGAAAACGGTTCTCATCCAGATGAGTTCAATCCGGAGGAGAAAATAGAAAACAGATCCCTCACAGGCTACGCCTTCCAAAAGTCTTCCGTTTCCACCCCGGCTGTCCCCTTGGCTTCCACAGCATTGTACGTGGGAAGTCCTGCGGCGGCCCAACCACTGTGCCCCTTCAGAGGAGAACCATCGAGCAGAGGGATTGAAGTGTCAGAAGACAGCGGGTGCGGAGAGGCAAAACCTACAACAAAGCCTGACGTCACTAGAACAGTCCTGATTTATCCAGCCTTTCTCCGCTGTCAGTATTAGGCAGGGAAAGTCGGTGTCCACTTCCAAGAGCACACAGTGGGATACGGATTTAATCCCCTGCACCGGCTCAATGGCACTTAGGGAATGTCAGTGGCTGACTTGAGTTTATGGAATTTTTATCTCTAAAATGATCATTAACAGCCGTCTGTGAGTTCAATGTTTTCAGAAGGAAGTGTGTCCACTTTATAGGAAATCAACAACAGATGGCGGCTAGGGCAGCATTTGATTAATAAATAAACTATTCCTGATTTACAATTATTCTGGTGTCATATAAAAAAACAAAGCCAAAAGTTATATAAACGAATTCAATAAAAAAAAACGACAAGGCACAAACAAAAAAGATTGAGTGGGGGGAAGGTTTATACACAGTCAACATTAGAATATCCGGGGGCTTTACTGGGCAAAGAAATATAGGAGGGGTTTGTGATAAGTTTCAAGGTGAACGATGAATATGATAGGTTGTTAAACATGTTTTCTGTTCATCTCAACTCTTTTAGGGGAAGAAATGAGCTGAGTGTTTGAATGGTCCTGTCACTACCACCACGACCAAAAAGAAAAAAAGTCCAATATAGAGTTTATATTTACCAATTTTTTTGTCTTGTGAGAACTATGAGAAATTGATTTATTTGATTCATTGATTATTTGTCTGAAATACAGTTTTTTCTTTCAGATTTTTTAAAATTTTAATTAGAAACAAGATTGTTTTACATGACAATCCCAGTTCCCTTCTCCCACCCGTCCTATCCTACCACCCCCCCCCACAACTAAAACCCTACCTATCACATATCCTTTCTGCTCCTCCTGGATGGTGAGGCCTTCCATGGGGGGGGGGTCATTAGAGTCTGTCATTTCCTTTGGAATCGGGCCTAGCCCCCCCCCCACCCCGTGTGTCTTGGCTCAAAGTCCACACCTATGCTAGGGATAAGTACTGAGCTACTACAGGAAGTCCTGTAGATTTCCGAGGTTTCCTCACTGAAACCCATGTTCCTGGGGTCTGGATCAGTCCCATGCTGGTATCCCAGCTATCAGTCTGGGGAGCAAGAGTTCCCCATTGTTCAGGTCAGCTGTTTCTGTGGGTTTCACCAGCCTGGTCTGGACCCGTTTGCTCTTCACTCAACCTTCTCTGCATCTGGATTCCAGTTCAGTTCAGTGATAAATTGTGGGTGTCAGCTTCAGGAAAGAGCCGGGTATTGGTGGCACACGCCTTTAATCCCAGCACTCGGGAGGCAGAGGCAGGCCGATGGATATCTGTGAGTTCGAGGCCAGCCTGGTCTACAAAGCAAGTTCCAAGACAGCCTCCAAAGCTACACAGAAACCCTGCTTTGAAAAACAAAACAAAAAAAGAAAAAAGGGAGTTATCTAGCTCATGGTTTCAGAGATTTTACCGAATGATTTGTGCAGCAGAAGAGTCTAACTCTCATGATAGGCACACTTGGCAGCAGAAGCCTGTTCCCTGAAAAGCCAGGCTACCTAGAAGAAACAAAGACCAGCTATGCTGCCTGGGAAGGATACCCTCCCACACTGCAGGCTGTGCTGTGTGCTCCAGGTTTCCAGCTTTTGTGAAGCTGTCACCCATGCTGGGGTGGGATTTGGTGACATAGCTGTGTTTGAGCCATTTCTGCTCCTGAAGGTAACTCCACACCCATATTGTTGCAATTAATCCAATAAAACTTATCGGCTCACTAAATTCGAATTTGGAAATATCCATACTTTGACCTGCTGTTAGTTCCCTATCTGAGGTGAGTTGATATTTGTTCATATCCCTCTAGAAATAGTGTCACGTCACATAGCCTCCCCCTAAAATGGTCTACAGACTGTCCAATTCCTTTGAATTCCACTTTAGGAAAGTCTCAGCATTTCAATGACAGCTTCCCACCTAATAGCCACAGCAGTGTTAAGGGGATGGAATCTCAACCCATGACATGAATCAGGACCCTCTGCAGGAGCTCAGGAGACAGATCAGAACTGAGCAGGGCTCCTTCTAAGATTTCTGAAGAGTGCGTTGATTTAGCGTGTGAAGATTTGCATTGCCCAGAAGTTCTCTGGTAGTACTCCTTCTGCCGCTGCCCAAGGGTGCTTAGAGGACCCTAACAAGGCACCCTGTTAAGGCTGAGGTAATGGCTAAGTTGGTAAAGTGCCTGCTGTGCAAGCATAAGGACCTGAGTTCAGATCCTTGGTGCCACATAAAAATTCAGCTCAGCAGGAACATATCTGTAACCCCAGTTCTGTGGTAGAGAGATAGGAGGATCCTGGAGCTCATTGGCCAAACAGTCTAGCCTAGTCAGTGAGCCCTAGATTTAATGAGAGACACTGTCCCAAAAAATAAAGTGGAGAACAATTGAGAAAGAGTTGACACTGACCTCTGGCCTCCATGTTGTATCTGCACACACATGTATACAGAGAGTCACCCTTTAAACTATTAACATTTATCCTTAGTCAATTCTTTCCATTCTATTGTAATTTTATAAAAATATAAGTAAAATCTCATGATTTTGACATTATTTATTGAGAAATTGAAAGCAAAAGTTATTATCATAAAGCAATCTAAGATTACAGGAAGGTCTATCTATTTCTATTACTTCTACAAAAGCTATAATCATAGTACTAATGTGGCTAAGTATTAAAATCATGAGGCACTCAGGATTTAATGTGCCTTCCCAAAGGGTCATGGCACAAACCCCCAACCAAATTCAGTATCTTGGTAAAATGAAACTCAACCAAAGAGGTCACTCACCCTTCTCCTGAAAGTTCCACTCCTACATGAAGAGAAGACTCAAAGAAATCGAAGTTCACAAATGAAGGTCATTTGTAGTTCACTGTGCCTCCCAGTTCTATTTATGCCATTCTGCTTCAGAATGCCATGTGTGTGTTTTTACACCCTTCAAATCACCAAGTACCATTTCAATATATCTGAAATCAAATACAGCAATGTTCTGATTATATAATTCCTTAATATTATCCAAGCTTCCAAACAGTCCTAAAGCATTTGGGGGTTTGAGAATATCCAAGACCTGTTTCCCTATGCTTCATGTCAGGTAAACCCAAACCATCCTGTTGCATCTCTTTTTCTTTTTCTTTCTTTCTTCCTTCCTTTCTTTCTTTCCTTCCTTTCTCTGTAGTTTTTGTTTGTTGTTGTTGAGTTCTGTGGGTGGGGTGTGTGTGTGTGTGTGTGTGTGTGTGTGTGTGTGTGTGTGTGTGTGTGTGTGTTAGGATCTCAGGTAGCCCAGAATGAGCCATTGTGTAGCCAAAACTGCACTTGACTACCTGATCCAGCTTCCTCAACTTCTTGAGAGCTGGGATTATAGGTATGCACTGCAATAATCGGAAACCCTTTGACAAAAGAAGATGACAGACAGGCTCTTGCATGTTCTTACTCTAAATAGACACACATATTTTGTTACCTCTATCCTCATATTATCCCTTTAAGGGACTTACTTTATTCTTTGATTTATCTTAGGAGAAAGCCAGTAGCCTAAAGTTCATTTTA